ATAACTAGGGCAAACTGGGCCACCACCAGAACTTAGGGAAGGCAAACTTGGCCTTAACCCAAAGTGGATAAAACTCATATACATACCTGAACGTGATATCGACTATTAAACTCAATGTATAACCCAGACTGGGTCCCCACCTGATCGGTTTTGAAAATGAGTAAGTGCGGCTGTGCTGGTAGCTGACTCCTCAAGCTACATAAAAATATAAGCAAACAAATATACTAAGTACTATGCTCGTCATATGCTCAAAAATATGCTAGGATGCTCTACTCTATCAGATTACTCATCCGGATATAAAGGAACGCTCTAAGGGTTCACAGAAATAATTCTAAGTCCGGAAATAATACTGATATGCTTAACTGATCTGGTTTGGCTCGGAAAAATACTTAAATTTCGGAATAAGACTCGGACCGAAAATCACGAACCAAAACGGACTCGAACCGCCGGCTAAACCGGCCGGTTCGCTAACTGGCTGAACCGGGTCGGGCTGGACCGGACCCGGTTGGACCACCGGGTCACACTGGACCGGTTGGTCACGGGCTGCTCGGACTGGCCGGGCTCGATCCCGTGCCGGGCCTGCTGGGGCCATGGCACGGCGCTGGGCACTAGCTGGGTGCGACCGGGCACGGTACTAGGCGCTGCTGGGCGCGGGCTGTGCGGCTGGCACGGGCCCTGGCACGACTGGTGCCACTAGGTGCGGTTGGGCACGACCGAGAGTCACTGGGTGTGCTGGCGTGCTGCTGGGCACGGTCGAGCACGAGGGACGCGGGAACTGGCGCGTACCCGGGTTGACTGGGCACTGGGCGTGCGGCTGGCACGACCCGAGTGCGACTGGCGCGAGAACGGACGTGGCCAGACACTACTCGCGCGGCTCGGGCGCGGCTAGGGCTGTCAGGGTGCTACCGGGCGACCCTGGGCACGCGGGCATGCTGCTGGGCACGTCCCGGGCTAACTGACTACTCGGGCGTGCTGCTGGGCACGTCCCGAGGCCTCTGGACCTGACTCGGGGTCACTACAGCACGGCACTGGACACTCGGGTGCGCTGCTGGCACGACCCGAGGTCGACTCCGCGTGGTACGAGCGACTGGCTCGGGATCACGCGTGCATGACACTGGGACAGCGCTGCCGGGCGCTGTCGGAGGTGCTCTGGCGCGACTGGCGCTGAGACCTCGCGGGCTGGCACGGACAGGCGCGGCTGGGCGCTGTCACGTGCACTGGGGACTGCGGTGCCTCGCGAGCGCTAGGCGCGGGCACGGACAGGGGCACTGCCTGGCCCCTGCGACGCGGCACGGGCACGGCACGCGCGACTGGCGCGGCTGGTGACCCTAGCCGGTCCTTTGCCAAACTTCCGGCAACTTTGCCGGGGACTACTGAACCAAATCAACCTAATATGACATAAAATGCTCAAAAATGCCAAAAGTCACTGAGGGACCTCGGTTGGATTTGGTGGTGGGCTTATAGGGCCGATTAGGCACGAGGCCACCCTAGGGCACAAAAATGAACATGCTCAACATGAAAATTGACCTAGGGCCGAATGATATACATCAAAAATCATGGCTAATGAGGCTAGAACATTGGTCAATACATGCATGCACATATACTTAGGTTCGGGGGTGAAAATGGCTCGATTTCACTTAACAAATTGACCGAACAAATGAACTCAAAGCATGAAACTGTTTTAACCATGTCATACTCATGATTTTTGAGGATTTTTAAGATACTAATCTCGGCCATATCATGCATGTACCATAACTTACGAAATTAGGGCTTAAATCTTCAAAAATCCAAATCTCCATATTCTTCTCGTGCATGGCATCATTTTTGTACATGATAAATCTTATTTTATCATGAATAAGCTAGGAAAAATGAAAGTCACGAGCTAACCTTGCTCGAGCTCGCGAATGGTGCTAATGGCCTTTGCTCGGGCTCGCAAATGGCCTAGGAGACTAGCCTCGACTTAGGGGCTTGAATGGCTGAGGAGGATAGCTTCAAGAGACTTAGAAAAATCCAAACTAAGCTTGGATAATGATAAGCCTCGAGATAACTAGGCTGGAACAAGCTGGACACGAGCACTCCTCTTCCCCGGGGCACACGCGCGCGCGGCTAGGCTTGCCTTGGCTTGCTCTCGGTTTTTCTCTTGTTTTCCCTCAATGTGCTAAGTGTTATGCTCGAAAATTATGAGTATCCAAGAGCTCTAACACTCAGCTGAAGGTGGCCTTATAAGGGAAATGCATGGGCGGAGAAAACAATGCTCAAAGTGGAGACACACACACATCACATGTGCATGGGGACATGGTTTGGGGCTGTTTGCACGAACTTGGAGGGTTTGCAGGGGCATCTTGACTGACCAAGGCATTAAAATATGATGGAGAGCAGGTCTGGTCGGTCCCAAGGTGGAGGAGGAGGTAGTGGGGGACAATGCCTTACACACTTGAATAAAATATTCCACAAGCACATGCTCCACTTTGGCTTAATCATAGGCTGACTTCCTTAACACTTTCTTAGGGACATCTTAGCCCTAAATGACCCTCATTAAGTCCTTAATACACGCAGCATTGGGTCATGGAAGGAAGTGGGCCGGAATTTCAAGAATTGGGCTCCAAATGATGGGCTGTCGCTGCTGGCGCTGGGCTGGGCGCGCTGGGCGCGAGCTGGGCTGCACACGGCCCTGGGCTAGGCGCTGGGTTGCGCGAACGGGCCTGTGCACGCGGACTGGGCGCGGGACAAACCTTGGACCGAGAAAAATGACTTTCTAAGGCATAAATGACATGGCCCATGATCCTATCTTGATGCATAATACTTAGAAAAATTCCAAAGGTGTTTGGCCATGACTTGGGCCACCATACTTGACTCGCGCGAGGCTAGGGTGCGGGTACTAGGGCGCGACTCATGGCCCGACTTGGAATGCACTTGAACCGAGGCTAACCCTTGGCTAGGGCTGAAAAATGGCCACACTTAGGTGCCACCAAACCTAGGAAAATCCCCTCAATACTTGGTCATGACTTGGTGCGAACTCGGCACGGCTTTGGCCCGAACTTGCGAACCCTAGGCGCGAGTGATCTCGGGGCCACGCACGAACTAGGTGCGGTATACTAGACCGAGGGAATAACATCCAAGGCTTGACAAATATGATCTCATACTTAGAAATATTCTAAGTAAGGCTATGAGCATGGCTAGGGATCGAACAAGACTCGAGACAACTAGGGCTCGAGAATTGGCTAGGCGCGAACTAGGCGCGATACTCGCGACCGAACAACTCGGTTCCGGACACGGCTAAACTTGGACGATTTATCGAAACAAACTCAGTTTCGATTATTCGTCAACTGAAATAACTAATTCCGACTGAATAAAATCCATTACTAAAATAAATGGACCGGAATTAATAACTGAGATTGAATAGCTGATAACTGGGCTCGGAACTCAAGACGAGCAGTATTAATAAAAAGAAATAGTTCAACTGGGAACTAAAAACTGTCATTTTATTAATACAGAACTGGGCTATTACAGATTTATCAGGATGGAAACTGAAAAGTGAGGAATGAATTTCTTCTTCTTCCACAGGCTTAAGGAGGGCTTGATTCATATCTTCAGTTATTGAGGTAGGGATAAGAGGAAGCAAAGTGTCACCCCCTAAGCAGCCTTCAGTGGTGAAAAGATTGTGGTAGAATTCAGCTATGTGCCTCTCAATCTCCTTCTGAGTTGTGTAAGTGTTGCCTTGAGTAGATGTTATTCTAGTAATTGCATTACTCCTCCTTCTTTGAAGTGTTAGTGCATGAAAAAACCTGGTATTAGCATCACCATCTTTCAGCCATTTGGATTTAGCTTTCTGTTGCCAATAGAGTTCTTCCTGCTTGTGTGCTGAGTTGAGGTTTCTTCTGGTAGACTCCCATTCTTCCCAATCAATACTTGATTTATCTTCATTTAGACTTTCCAGCTTCTGAGTAAGTGCTGCAATTTCCTCCTGTCTTTGAGAGTGGAAACCAGAACTCCATCTAAGAAGAGCAATCCTTGTAATTTTAATTTTCTCCTTCAACTGATAGAAAGGAGTTCCCTGCACCTCTGTTAACCAAGCATTCTTGACCACCACATCACAGCCTTCCATGCTTAACCACCTCTTATCAAAATGGAACATGGTTTTCCTCTTTTCTCTAGGCAGACCCTGATTCAACAATAGAGCAGAGTGATCAGAGGCACTCCTTAATTTGTTCAGAATGGTGGCATTTGGGTGATTCTGATTCCACTCCAGAGAAGCAAAGGCTCTGTCAAGTTTTTCTTCCACCAAGTCAGGAGCAGCTCTGTTGTTGCACCAAGTGAACTGCGGTCCTTCCATTCTTATCTCCTCCATTGCCATACCATTCACAAGGCTACCAAATCCTGAAAAAGAGCTTTGAGTTCTAGGAATTCCACCAGCTTTGTCTGTGTGTGAAAGGATGTCATTCCAATCCCCTATTGCAAACCAGTTGTTCCCCCAAGAGCCTTTATCTCCCATCAAAATCCCCCATTGACTTGCTCTGACTGCTCTGATTGGACTCATATAAAAAAATACCCCCCATTGAGATGGTTCAGAATGAATAACAAATTGAACAGCGATGTAGAAATCTTTTAACACCACTTGCTGAACAACAACATGACCTTTCCAAAATAGAGCCAAACCACCACTCAGACCAGATGGGTCCATAGTGGTAAATCTATCCTCAAAACCTAATTTTTTACTAACTGTACAAACAAAAGCTTTGGATTTTTTTGTTTCAGAAAGAAAAAGAAAATTGGGGTGATGAGTTTTTATCAACTCTCTGATTTGGGAATTTGTAGAGGGCCCACCCAGCCCTCTACAATTCCACACCATGGCTAACATTGGCCACTTGGGTGCCACTCAAGGCTGGCAGCCCCCACCTTATCAGAATTAATGAGTTGGTTTGCATGTTCACCTTGTTTCTGTTGCTTTGGCTCTTTTGAAGATGCTGGTAGCTCACTCTCTGTTGATACCCTCTTAGAACCAGAAATGTTGTCAATAAGAATAGGTGTATGTGTGACTGGCTCCCTTTGTAGTCTACCTGTCCTGACCCCAATTCTTTTCCAGGTTTTGGCTGGCCCTGTTATGGTGAGCATCTTCCCTTTCTGTAGTGTGGACTGATCATCTTCCACTGGGATATGCAAATCCATCTGCTGCCCAGAAACTTGGTTGGCATCATTGAAATTTGCAGAAGGCCCAATTTCTGGAGTTTCAGTTTTTGACGAGGATGAGATAGAAGTAGCTGGGATTAAGTGGTCTGGTGAGAAATTGTTATCCTGGTTATCAGTGATTTCCATTGTCTGCTTTTGAAGCTCATTGTGAACAGAAATTAGTTGGTGGTTTCCTGCCTCAGTTTGACTGGTAGATGCTTTGTGAGAATGTCTTGGTTCTGAGTTTGATGGGGAGGTTGGCGGGGAAGTTCTATGGCCTGAGCTTCCTCCTGTCCATCTCATACTATCTGGTGCCTTTAACCAGTCACCATATTGACCATCCTTGAGAGTTTTGTTCTTAATGTCTTGCATCCTTCTTTGACAGCTGCGGTCTAAGTGACCAATCTTTCCGCAGTAATGGCAAAGATTCATAAGCTTCTCATATTTGAACCCCACACTAACGATTTGGTCCCCCAACCTGATATGAGCTATTCGAGGAATAGGTTCATCTAGATTAAGGGTCACAAGAAGACGCAGCAATTTTCCTCCATGACTGCCAGTGTTAGCTATGACCACATTACTAACATCTTTGAAAGTCCTGCCAATTTTCAATCCAACTTCAGCACTCATCCAATTCAGAGGGAGATTTGTGACTTGAGCCCAAAGGTTGATTTCCTGGAAGCTTTCATGCTTGCTATTCAGATTGGTAGTCCAATCCCTCAGAATGATGTACTGGTTCTCGAAACTCCAATTCGAACCGCCTGCAACTCTTTCTTTGTCCTCCTTACTTTGAAAAATAAACTGGAAATAATTTGGGCTGAGTTCTTTCACCTCCATTGGCTTATTGAGTCTCCAGATTTGTGTCATCGCCCTCTTGACTCCGAACCACCCTGCTATCCTGTCTCCAATTATTTTCCCGAATAAACTCCGTTGGCATTCATCATCGCTCAATCGAATGTCATTTTGTGCTATATCAATCACGTTAACCTCTCTTTCTGAGAGTGAAAAATCTCCCAGCCGTGCGGATATGTCTTCGTCTGGGCTAAATCTGGCTTGCCCCGCCATTCTGGAACCCTAATAATGGAGAGACCGGAATTACTCAGTACCCACCAACTCAATAGCAGCCAACAATTTACAGCAAAAGGAAGAAGAAGAGAAAATCAAAGACTTAGAAGCTCTCAACGAGAGAATCGCAAGCTCTCAACGAGAGAATTTTGTCTGTCAAATAACTATTATTTTTGTATATATTGACTGATGTTTTTTTTTTAAATTATTAAATTCAAATAAAATATGCACATTTAATATAATGTCGGTCGGTAAATATATATTTCCAACCCATGTAATGCACAGTTAAAAAAATCAGTCATCCATTTTTTTTCATAAGGTCAAGTCCATTATTTTCTCGTTTTTAACTAAATCGATTGAACCAACCGATGAACAATACTATATGTTCCGTATCGATGAACAATATTATATGTTCCATAATTTTTTTTTTAACATTTAATGCATATACACACTATATTATGCATTGTATTGAACATTACTGTGCACTTATTAGTTTATTGTTAAATTATAAATTTTACAAATTAACTAAATTATAATATATTGAAAATCCTAAAATTGCAACAAATTCCTTTTGACTTTTATTAAATTACTGATTTGCCACATGTACTAAATTGAAATAAATTAAAAATTATGAAATTACATTTAAATCCTTGAAACATATCAAATTTTCAAATAAAGCCCCCCAAATCAATTCAAACTATCTTGCAACAAATCTCAACTTCATCCTCAATTTTCCTCAGCCCCTAATTTCGGATGTCCCTTCCAAGCCACCGTCGCTGCCGTCATCACCATCCAATCTTAACCTCTCGTCCCCTCCGATATGTTGTTGTCCAATCCGGTCGAGAATAATGACGGCGGCAACTGTCAAGAATTCCGACGGATATGAGGGAACGGGCGGGATTGAGGTGGACTATAACTGGAGCTTGACGGACTGGCGGTGGCGGACTGTGACTAGAGATGTTAAACAGGCTAGCCCTAGCAGCTTCGGGCCAGCCTTAGCGGGCTTCGGGCTAAACGGGCTATGCGAGCTATAATAATAATAAAATAAGAAAAAATATATAAAAAATACAACGGCTAGTTAATGATTGTTTTCAACGGTTATTTAGTATTTACCGCTCTATATGTACAACTATATATCATATATGAACACACATTACAAACTTTTAAATAACATATTTTTTCTCAAAAGAAAAAAAATATTCCAAATATTGCTTACAATTACCATTTTACTACTTATTTTGTACGCTTTGGAAATATTCATAATATTGTATCATTATAAATTCTATCATTAAGTTTCATGTGTTTCCTATTAATCGTTCTGATTGGCTTAAATATTTTTGTGTGAAGTACAATAACAATATTGTTAATTATTATCTATCAAAATCATAATAATCCATTAACTCATACTGACATGTGAATTGCAATAACAAAATTGTAATATACAAGGAATCTAAAAGCATATTACTTACTTGATGCAAACATTTACACCGTCCAACCCTAGTTAAACGGGCCAGCCCTAGCGGGTTTCGGGCTAGCCCTACGGGCTTCGGGCTAAACGGTCCGGGCCTAAAAAGCTCTGTTTTAAACGGGCTACCAATAAAGGGCCCTAACCCTATTTTTTTTGGGCTAAACGGGCCGGCCCATCGGACCAATGACCATTTAACATCTCTAACTGTGACAGCAGACGTTCTGGTATCGGTGACTGACTTGTCGTGTCGGGTGACCTTCGACGGATGTTTGTGTGTGTGTGTGGTGGACTGTGTGTGGGTGTGTGGCTAGTTGTGTCTCAGTCGAGGAACTTGAAGAGCTAGCCGGCTGTGGAACTTGACGGGCTGCGGAGGCACGGCGGGGGACGGCTGAGCTGGTGGCCGGCGGACTGAGAATTTTTATCTGTGTGTTAGTGTGTGTTTTGTGAGTGTGTATGTGTGTGTGTCCGACGTATGTGAATTGAAGATGGTGAGAGTGATTAGAGTAAGTGGGGTGGGTGGGTCCCACAGGTAGAGTGTGATGGTGGGTAATGACAATTTTGTCCTTAATGAGTGGTATGATATCATATTTGACCATAATAAGACCATTTATTTACTAGAATGCATGCATATTTTACTGGTACTTAATAATAGTTGACTCGATCATGACCGTTGACATGTTAGATCCAATTATACAAATTCTTTCTTATTTCTTTCATTATCTTTCTTTCTCATTTGAACCCTTTTCTTGTTTTGTATTGACTAGTGCGTATCACGTGCAATGCACGGACGGATTTGTTATTTAAAACATTTTTTTAAGAAACTTAATTTAAATATAGTTATTTATATCTAACATATCATTATTGCAAGAAAAAATACAATATATAAAAAATTATATATTATTTATTCTATAATTTTAATTTAAATATAATTATTTACATCTAACATATCATTTTTGCAAGAAAACAAATATCAAATATAAAAGATTATATATTATTTCTTTGAATTGAATGAGTCTCCACAACCAAACCAGTCGCACTAACTAATGATATGCCGACGTCATTAATTAGTTTTAGTTTATTTGGACGAAGAACATATTATATACATATATCTTACTGAAATTACAATTGTTTTTTTTTAAAAGAAATGAAATTGAAATTGAAATCAACTGCCATTTCTTTTTAAAAAAAAAAGATTACCAAGAGTATTAAATTTAATATTTTTGAGCGGGAATTTCCATACTATTTCAAGTAAATCCTATTTTTTATACATTAATAATCGATATATAAATAGATAGATATATAAATTATAAATTTATAAAATACAATGAAATGAATATTTTCAGCTAGGATTTTAATATCTATTACTATATAATAGCAATAAGAAGAAAAATAAAAAATAGCATTACAAATTCCCGCTCAATTTTTTTACTAATAATGGAAATATTTTTTTTGAAATTTTTTGGATTTTCCCGCCCATCACATGTTTTCAAATTCGATATTAATTCCACCAAATTACTATATATCTGGTCAATTTCTTAAATTTATACTAGTGTATATCTCGTGCTATGCACGGAAGAGCTCATATTTTAAATTTTTTTTAGAATTTATTTTAAATATAATTTTTTATATTTTTTACATCTCATCTTTTTTTGTTTTTTTCCCAACGATATCAAATCTCCATTCAAAATCAAAATAGCCGCCCAAAGGGCAAATGTACACAGAGGACGACCCCAAAACCTGGGTAACTGAGAGGAAGCAACAAGCACCCTAAACATAACAAGAACAAACTACAAATCCAATCACCATAACAGCCATGAAAAGAACCATACAACAGACCACTTCGACCATATAACAATATACAACAGCAAACACCAGAGCCACACAACCAGATCAAAATAGAAAGATCACTGACACTAGACCTAACCTATCTATTAAGCATTCTTGGTATCATTTGGTGTTGTTTTGGTTGAAGTCCATCCAGTCCTTCACAGCAGCTTTGATGATCCAACCCTCAGACTGCCAAATGCCTTCAAACACCCAAAGATTTCTAGCTCTCCACAACCACCACAAAATATAAGTGGAGAGCTGAATCCTTGCTTCAGAAATATCCTTAGTATCCATAGTACATATCCACCACCACCACTGCTTCACAGTCATCTTCTCTGTCTGCACTCTATTCCAACTGACAGGGGACAGTTGCCAAACCATTTTGGCCTTCCTGCATAGAAATAGGATATGATCTTGAGTTTCCTCCTCCTCACCACAGACTCTGCAAGTTGCCTCCAACTCCATTCCTCTGTACAGCAGGTTACAATGAACAGGTAAAATATTGGAAAAACACCGCCACACGAAATGTTTAACCTTGCCCATCACTTTCAATGCCCAGCACCTCTTTCTGGCTTGTCTGTTTCCCTCAGCAACTGCACTACTTTCAGCCACTGCTTTCATACAAATTCTGTCAGATAGCAATTTAGAATAAGCTTTTTAACAGAAAATTTCCCTTTGCCAAGGAAAGGGCACTGCCAATGATCAACAACTCAAGGGTTCAGAGTTTTAGTCAGCAAAATCCTGTCAGCATCAGCTTCAGTGAACAGAGCTTTAACTAAATTAGTATCCCATTGAACAACACCTGCCACATTAGATCTTTAACCCAAAACAATCTTCCATCCACCTCAGTTCTCAATTCAGGCTTCTTACCACTCAGACCTGGCACCCAGTTCACCTCATTCAATCTAGTACTTTGCCCATTCCTAATCACTAAATTTACCTGTTTCTGCAAGTCAGGTAGGAATGTTGCCCATGAACTCCACAGCCAAGAAGCACTCCCAGTATTCCTCCATTCAAAGATAGAGCAGTCATTAAAGTACTTACTCCTTAGAACTCTACACATCAGCATATCTGGTTGCTCAAGAAGTCTCCATAGCTGCTTCAATATTAGTGCTTTATTGAAGAGTTGAAAGTCCAGAAATCCAAGTCCCCCTTCCTCCTTAGGCACAGTCAGTTTATCCGATGATAGCCAATGCATATTCTGCTTCTGAGACTGCCCCTTATTCCACCAGAATCTTGCCACTAGTCTACACACTTCTTTACAACAGCTAACATGCAGCACAAAACAAGACATGACAAAAACAGGTAAGGCACAAAGCACAGACTTCACCAAAATTTCCCTCCCTGCAGTAGACAGAAAAGTGTTTTTCCAGCTGCAAATTCTGTCTTTCACAGCCTCAACCACATACTGGAAAGTTCCAATCTTTGAAGCCCCAATACCCAAAGGCAGCCCTAGATACTTAGAAGATCTCTTCACCACCACCCCATCAAGAATAGAAGATATCCTGGCCTGCAATCCTTCAGTACAGTTTTTGCTGATAAATAGAGAGGATTTGTGCAAGTTAACTTTTTGCCCTGTAAACTTTTGGTACTTGTGGAGAATTTCAAGCAGCAACTCTGCATGTATCTCATCAGCTTTACAGAAAATTAGGGCATCATCAGCAAACAACAAATGAGATAGAACATGACCATCCCTAGAAACTTTGATACCCTTAAACCACCCAGCATTAATCTTATGTTGCAAGAGAGCTGAAAACATCTCAGACACCAAAATGAAAAGGTAGGGGGACAAAGGGTCCCCCTGCCTAATACCCCTGGAAGAAGCAACATACCCATATATCCTGCCATTCAGATTAAAAGAGAAGGTAGGGCCTGAAATACAACTGCTTATCCAATGCACAAATTTGCCATGAAACCCCATTCTACTCATAATTTTCTTAATACAATCCCACTCCACACGATCATAAGCTTTTTCCATGTCCAGCTTGACTGCCATAAACACATTAGGCTCAGATCTATGTCTATGCAAAAAGTGGAATATTTCATGAGCAATAATGACATTGTCCAATAGAAATCGACCAGGGACAAAAGCAGTTTGGGCTTGACTGATACAAACATCCAGACAACCTTTCAACCTCTCAGCCAACAACTTTGCAATAATTTTATAAAGAACCCCACAAAGACTAATAGGTCTGTAGTTACTTAAGGCTTCAGGATACATACACTTAGGAATAAGAGTGATAATCGTGTGTTTCCAATTTTTCAATAAATGCCCAGTTCTGAAGAAACTACAGACAGCCTTGCACACATCAGCTTTAATAATATGCCAAAATTTTTGAAAAAAACAAGCAGACATACCATCATCTCCTGGGGCTTTCTCAGGAGCCATACTGAAAACTGCAGCCTTTACTCCCTCCTCTTCCACAGGTCTGATTAAATCATTGTTGAGAGCATCATAAATAGAGTGTGGAATATATTGAAGCAGCTCATCACCCCCACTAGACCCCTCTGAAGTAAAAAGGCCTGAATAAAAATTGCGAATATGCCTCTCCATAGCCTCATGAGTATCACATATATCACCAGAAGGGGTTTTCAGAGTGGAAATAAGGTTAGCTCTTCTCCTCTGTGATGTGAAAGCATGGAAAAACTTGAAGTTGCAGTCACCACTCTTAAGCCACAAAGCCCTAGATTTCACCCTCCAGTACCTCTCTTCCTCTTGACGAGCATTGTCTAACTCAGATTTTAGCACACTCCACTCCTCCCAATCCCTATCTTTACCCACCAATCTCAACTCTTCCAGTTTTGCTGTGAGAGTAGATATGACCTTTTCACTGTTTCTGTGGACTGGCTTGTGCCAGGCAAGAAGAGACATTCTAGTATGCTTCACCTTCTGATGCACCTGATACATTGCAGAGCCTTCTACCTCCACTTGCCAGCCATCTTTTACTGCATCTTGCACACCCTCCATATTTGCCCATTGACTACTAAATTAGAACCTTTTGTGTCTCCTTTCCAACTCCTTATCAGTATCAAACAGAAGAACATTATGGTCAGAAGCTGATCTGTAGAAATTTGAAGCCACCATGTTGGGGAATTTAGCCCCCAACTCAAAGGACACAAATATTTTATCCAATCTCTCCTCCACATAGCCATCCCCTTCTCTGTTATTCCCGCAAGTAAAGAAAGATCCCAGTTGATCCACTTCTTGCATCTGCATATTAATAATAAACTCCTGAAACCCCACAAAGCTGCTATTTCTCCTTCTCACACCACCCCTTTTCTCCTCATTATCAACAATGTCATTCCAGTCACCAGCTATTAACCAACATGGACCCCATTGCTCCTTGCTATCTTCCAAAAAGGTCCACTGGTGTTCCCTTTCCCTTCTATCAGTACTCATATACACAAAAGTCATCCAATACCAATCAGAGACCCCTTCACCTTTTATTTCCACTTGAATGCAAAACTCATTCCCCAGAATTTGTCTCACCTCAGTAGAATTATCCCATAGTAATAGTAACCCACCTCTAGTGCCAACAGGTTTTTCCAAGTGCCATCTATCCATAAATCCCAGCTTTCTACAAACAGTTTGAGTAAATTTGTCAGATTTCTTAGTCTTAGATAGGAATATTATATTTGGGTGGTGGATTCTTCTAGAATCCTTAATCTAGGAAACTGTAGAGGGCCCACCCATCCCTCTACAGTTCCACACCATGACCTTCATTGGTCACTCTGGGGCCAATTATGGCTGGCCTTCTCCACCAATTGAGCCCCACAGTTACCCTTCTTTCTCTTTTCAGACCCTGCATCATCAGCTTTCTGGCCTCCTTCATATATCACCAACTCTCTGCTTCTTTTAAGAGATACAGCCCTAAGCGGTTCCCCAGATACTTCAGGTGCACTTCTTAGCCGACTCAGACTTGGTTCTGTCCTCTTCCACATGGCCCCAGTTCTCTTCCTCAGATCATACCTACCCCCAGATATCTGTCTTATCTCCATCAAGTCTGCTTTGTCCATAATCACCTCTTCTATCTCCATAGACTTTTTGCCCTTTTTATCACCAACTTCATTCCCATCACTCTGCTTAATGTTGTTCCCACAATCATCTTGAGCCACCACCTCTTCATCTACAATAGTCACCCCCTTACCACCTACATATTCATTGCTTTTAATATGTTCTGACAAGCCCACATTGGAGTGATTATTAGCAGCAACCAGAGATTCTCGAGTAGGACTTATATTTGGTTGATTATTTTTGTCACTTGAACTTTCAGTTTGCATACTTCTGCCACCTGCAAAAGTCTCATTGGATTTAAGCCATTCCCCATATTGTCCATCTACTACACAGTCTTTGTCAAAATCATCCACCCTCTTGCTACAATTTCTTTCTAGGTGGCCAATCATCCCACAGTAATAACATAAGTTAACAAGCTTCTCATATCTAAAGGCCACCATAACCTTCTCATTACCCAACTTGATAGAAGTACACCGAGGAATTGGCTCTTTAATATTAATGGTAACCAGTATCTTCAAGAAACTGCCAACTTCCCAACCTACTTTGCAAACAACCACATTCTTAACTTTGCTAAATATCCTACCCACTTTCAATCCAACTTCCGTACACATCCAATTCAGAGGCACATTCAACACTTGGACCCACAGATTAATTTCATCAAAACAACTATGCTTGCTATTTAGCCCATGGAACCATTCTTTAAGAATAAGGTATTGGTTCTCATACATCCAGCTGTGGCCTGCTCCAACTTTCTTCTTATCTTCTAGTGATAGGAAAATAAACTGGAAAAAATTAGCACTGATTTCCTTTACCTCCATCGAATGCTGCATTCTCCAGATGGCACCCATTGTTCTTTTTATTCCCAGCAGTCCTGCGTGCCTGTCACCCACAACCTTCCCAAATAGACTCCTCGAACACTCTTCCTCACAAGCTTTGATGTCATCACCTTTGATTTCAACCTCGCCTGCTTCTTTAGCAGACAAAGACATATGAATAAGTTTACGCATAACACCATCCACCACCTCTCCTGAAGGGCCGCTGCCCGGTGATTTGCCTTCCATACCACTTCCGCCCACTGTTCCAGCCTCCTATCTTCTAACCCTACAACCCTAATTAACCAAATCCCCAATCTACCACAATCAAAAAGATTACAAATCCCGACTCCCTCCCCAACAATTTAGAAATAGACCCCTCAGACAAGATCACACCTCTCTCAACAAAAGGGAATTTAGCTCTCACCCGAGAGAATTTCGCTCTCAATCAAGAGAATTATCAATGAATGTCACTTTTACATCTCATCTCATTATCGAAATAAAATAAATACAAACAATTAAAAAAATATATTATTAAACACTTCTCTTTATACGATATTATTAAACCTTTTTGTTTTTTTTTAATCAATTATATAATATATGATTGTTGATGTACAAAAAATAATGGAAAGTATCCAGACTTTAAAGTAAAGCTATTTTTTTTTTTTTTACAAATCAAAATCATCCAAATTTTTTTAATTTCAAAAACTTTGGCAAGTTTGTTAATGAGATAAATCAAGTTCTATAAATGATTAATTAATTAATATATTATATTAATTATATTTTAAGAAATTCGGTTATATAAATGCGGATAAAAAATATTATAATTAGATTGTTAGGAATGTGATTTATATAGAAGTTAAGATAAAATGAAATTTAACAAAAAATCTGTTCGTGATCTTTTCCTTTAAATGTTTGAATTTAAAAATCTAATAACCAAATATAGATTATATCACATATGAAAAAAATAAAAAATAATGTTTATTTATATATTTAAAAATTGAATTTTGAATTTCAAATAGAGTAAAAGACGGAATAATTCAAATTTGTTTTTAAAAAGTTTTTAAAGTGTTTAATATTCTGCTAAGTATACTCGTAAGAATAATCTTACTATTTTAATTTCAAAAATTTTGGCAAGTTTGTTAATGAGATAAACCCGGTTAGACAAAAGATTAACTAGTTAAAATATCATATTAATCATATTTTAAAAAACTAGTTAGATAAATGTAATTATATTAATTAGTTTGTTAGGAGTGTGATTATATGAAAGTTAAGATAAAATGAAATTTACCCAAAAAAAATTGCTTGTTATTTTTTTCCTTTAAATGTTTGAATTTAAAAATCTAATAGTCAAATTTAGATTATATCACGTAAAGAAAAAAATAAATAATAAACATTTATTAAAGAGATAAATCAATAATATTTATCACTTAGATAATAAATAATAAACATTTATCACGTAAGAAAACAATATAACTTAGAATTTTAAATAAAGTAAAAGGAGGGATAACCCAATTTTGTTTAAAAGTTTCTAAATGTTTAATATATGGTAAGTATCTCCGTAAGAATAATCATACCATTTTAATTTAAACAAATAGAGAGTTTATCAGAGAGATAAATCCGTTAGATAAATGATTAATTAGTTAAAATATTATATTAATTATATCTTAAAAAATTGATTAGATAATGTGGATAATAAAATATAATATAATTGATGTGATTATATGAAAGTCAATATAAAATGAAATTTATCCAAAAAAATCTAATTAGAATATGTTTCTTTAAATGTTTGAATTTAAAAATATAGGAACTGAATTTAGATTATATCACATAAGAGAAAAATAAATAATAAACATTGATTAATATATTAAAATATGTAATTTTGGATTTCATATAAAGTAAAAGGCATGATAATTCAAATTTATTTTTAAAAAATTTCTAAAATAATTAATATTTTGGTATTTATATCCATAATACTAATTGTATAATTAATTAAATAAAATATTATATTAGTTATATCTTAAAATACTTGAGTAGATAACTTGGATAAAAAAATGTTATATTAATTAATTGTTAGGAATTTGATTATATGGAAGTTAAGATAAAATGGAATGTACCAAAAAAATTTGTTTGTAATCTTCTCTGTTTTCATTTTTTTTCAGAACGATAGGGTTTTATAGAATGCACAAAGTGCGAAAAGAAAATCAGAGCTGGGAGGCAGATCCGAAGATGACCTAGAGCTGGACCTAGCAACGCTAGAAAACACAAACACATCTCTACAAAACCAAAACTACTACTAACTCCCAAACAAGACACTAAACGATCCCAAAACGATAATGCCGGAGTGAGAGTCGATCCCAACAGGATAATACCCTGTCTCACTCTGGCGAAAACAGAGGCCAAAGGCCCAAACCAAAAATACAACCTACCAATCAAACCAAACCAAACAAAACATTTAATGCACTTAATAATTATATCGGAATATAAATATTATGGATTAAACGTTGGTCAATTATCAAGCAATGTGCAAATTATGAATTGTTGAAAAAATTATAAGACTATGATAAACGACAATTTTATAAGTACATACAAGTAATTTGTATGCAAATATCATCTGATCTTATACATTTATAATATTTTATAAACTTATAAATAATAAAATTTATATATTACATAGTCAAAAACTACAAAAAAATATATAAAAATAGAAATTAATAATAATAATAAATAAATAATTACAAAATAGAATATTGTAGAGAATATAATTTCATATTGTCTTAAATAATTTTATAATTATATTTAAATAAAAAATATTTTTTTATTATACCCCGTGTATCGCACGCGTATCAACACTAGTAATGAGAAAAAGTATTGAAAATCTTGCTTCTAAAAAGTCTGATCAATCAATTTTTTTAATTTTTTTTGGTCAAACATGTAAATTTGGTTACAAAAATATGGTCAACCGTTTAACGAATAAAACGTTTGAAATTTTTTTAAAACTTTCAAAATTTCATGCCAACTTAATTGTTAAATATTGTTTTATCTATATTTATCTATGTACAAATCTCATATTTTATGGTCACAATTAAAAATTCGTATTTATTTAATAAATAATGTTAATTTAAAAAATTGTTTTTTATATTCGGATAGTTCAACCTAATTGATGATTTTTTTGTCCATATTTATTTAACTACAAAATATTTTAAAGTTTAGAAAGAATATCATATTATGTGGGTTATTGGTTCTTTTTTTTTCTTTTTTTTTTACATATTCATTTTTTATCTCATATCCAAATTACAAATTTTAATGCGAATCTTAAATATCTTATGTTTATTAAATATATATATATTCAAAAAGTATGACAATCATATAATTAATTTATCATATATCATGTGTTAGATGTTATTGGTTTGGTTAGGGTCCTTAGGGACACTTATTATATTCAAATAAATAATATATAATCTTTCATATTTTGTATTTCTTTTCTTACAATAATGAGATGTTAAGCATAAATAATTATATTTAATATAAAGTTTTAAAAAAAGTCTTAAGTAAAATGTCTGTCCGTGTATCGCACGGGATATACACTAGTATATAAATAACTTCTAGTATACCTTTAAAATACATGCATGTTATATATTATAGTATTTTGTAATGTGGAGAGGATTTTTATTTATTAATTGCTTTTGGTAAATAAATTTAAATGTGAGCTATTTGAATATATCCTTGAAACAAACATATTTATATTTGTACTGATGGTAAAAATAAAAAAATTAAAATAAAATAAAAATAAAAATAAAATAAAATAGATAAAAAAAATAAAAACATTATTTTATATTAAATCAAATCAAGTGGAATCTCCTCATTCCACGACTTCTATATTTACATAGGAGTTCAATTATCTCTTAGATTCTTTTTTTTTTAGTTTTTTTTGTTTTTGATAATTTGACGTGGAATTGAATATATGATTACCATCAAATTTTAAATAATCTAATAAGTATCTTTTTCCTATTTTTTTATGATACATTTCAGTATCAATATGTAAGCAAAAATACATTATAAGTAATATTTTCATAAATGTATAAAATCCTAACAATCACTATATCTAAAATATGTATCACTGAAAAAAAAAATGAAATATTTTTCTACCAAATATCATGTTATAAATTTTAATAATTTCCATCATATTTTCGCAAAAATAGCATAGAGAC